ATAAAATGAAGGGTGCCCGTAGTCTATCTGTGTGCCCAGAAAGAAGAGAAAAACATGGATATTGGTATGTACTAAGCAATCTTGTTTTCAAAATGAGGTGAACTGAGCTTACTTTTGGCAGCCTTATTGTGTTAGTGGGACAAAAGTCAGAGACCAGGGCCATCCATGGATGGGAACCTATTTAACTGCCTGTCTCCCCAATTTTGGATAAAGTCCTGAGTAGATTTCATCCTGAAGTCCTGAAGGACTGCACTTAGGAATTAGCATAAAGCAGAAATAAGCCAGCCCTCTCATGGACTTCAGCCAGATTTTCAGCTGAATACTTAGAAAACCTCAAGCCCTGAGCTTGGATTTTTTGTTTTGTTTTTTTTTTTTTTTGAGATGGAGTCTCACTTTGTCACCCAGGCTGGAGTGCAATGGCACGATCTCAGCTCCCTGCAACCTCCACCCCCTGGGTTCAAGCGATTCTCCTGCCTCAGCCTCCTGAGTAGCTGGGATTGCAGGCACCTGCCACCACGCTCGGCTAATTTTTATATTTTTAGTAGAGATGGGGTTTCACCATCTTGGCCAGGCTGGTCTTGAACTCTTGACCTTGTGATCCACCTGCCTCAGCCTCTCAAAGTGCTGGGATTACAGGCGTGAGCCAGTGTGCCCGGCCAGATTTTTTCTATATGTATTTTTTTCAATGGTAAAATCCAGGATGTACAAAGATAACCAGGCATATGAGGAGACAAGACACTGTGAATGAGAACAAACAAAAACAACAGACAATAAAATTAGGAACTCCAGATATTTGAATTATGAGCCCATATTTTAAACTACTAGACTTACATATTCAAAGAGCTTTTTTTTTTTTTTTTTTTTTTTTTAGAAAAATGGACTTGGAACTATGCTTCAGAAGAGATCTAGAGGTAACAAAAAGAGACATCTCAACCTTGAAAAAGAATCAGTGGAAATTCTAGAGCTACAAAGTGTAGTAACCAAAATTAAGGGCTCAAGGGATGAGCTTAAGAGCAGATTAAACACAGCTAAGGAGAATCACAGTGGATCAGAAAAACTATCCAAAATGAATCATGGAGAAGTAGTAAAGAAATATACAAAATAAAGGATAAAAGGAGAGTATGACATTTAACCTAGGTTCGTTTAAAGTATCAGAAGGAGAAGAGAAAGGAATGAAGCAGAGGCAATATACATACGTAGATGTACTTGATATTGTCTGACATTTATGGAGAAAAATACTGACAACACGCTAGTCATCATCCCTACATAGGAAAAAATTGCTAAAATTAAGACATGCTATAAATGGGAGCATATTGACCTGGGCTGTGTCATGGATTTTGACTGGTTTACTTTAAAGTACAGTCACCCCTCTGTATCCATGGGTAATTTGTTCCAGGACCTTCCACAGACACCAAATCTGCAGATCCTGAAGTCCCTGATATAAAATGGAGTAGTATTTGCATATAACCCATGCACATCCTCCCGTATTTTTTGTTTGTTTCTGAGACAAGGTCTCAGATGACCAGGCTCGAGTGCAATGGTGGTGATCTCAGTTTACTGCAAACTCAGACTCCCAGGCTCAAGCGATCCTCCCACCTCAGCCTCCTGAGTAGCTGCAACCACAGGCACATACCACCACACCTGGCTAACTTTGTGTATCTTTTGTAGAGATGGGGTTTCACTATGTTGCCCAAACTGGTCTCCAACTCCTGAGCTCAAGTGATCTACCCACCTCAGTCAGCTTCCCAAAGTGCTGGGATTACAGGCATGAGCCACTGGGCCTGGCTTCCTCTGCTATACTTTAATTATCTCCAGATTATTTATAATACCTAGTGCAATGTAAATGCTATGTAAATAGTTGTTATAATGTATTACTTGTTAATATTTGTGTTGGTTTTTGTGTTATATTTTTTTTCAAATATTTTGATCGGCAGTTGGTTGGATCTGCAGATGTGGAACCCACAGATATGGAGAGCCAACTGAATTGTTTTTCTTGTTTATCTTTCCTATTTATTATTCTCTTTTTTATTTTTTACTTTTTTGAACTTTTCTTTTTAGAAATATGCTTACCCATGAATTTATTAAAAACCAAAATGTCATTATTTTAAATTAGTCCTATTCTTATTGGACCTGATTTTTTTTTGAGGGCGGGGGGGGAAACTTCCTTCTTTGATTAATACATTTCATTCTTCTTTCTCATGTTTTTAAAGAAAAAAGTAATATTGCTATCTCTTCATGGCTTAAATTGAGAGAGATCTCTTTGGCAACGAATAACCTCTCCTTGTTTGAATGACTTTTTTTTATTGTAGTAAAATACTATATAACATAAAATTGACCATTTTAACTAATTCTAAGTGTACAGTTCAGAGGCATTAAGTACATTCATATCGTTGTACAGTGATCAACACTGTCTACCTCTAGAACTTTTTCCTCATCCTAAACTGAATGTATTAAACAACAATTCCACATTCGCCCAATGACGGTTGTCTTGAAAGGAGACAGATAACTCTATTGAGCTTTGTTTTCTTTATGTGAATGAGCATGTAATTGTTTTAGGGATATGAGGGGAAGGAATAGTTGCTAATATAATGGCAATTGCAGAACCTACTGCCAAAGGTATATAATTTGTAAAATAGCTGAATGGGCACAATTCTGATTTTCAGTTGCCCTAGGCACTTCAGTGCACTTCTGATAATGATTTTCCTTGGGCATGTAGTTATTCTGATAGAAATCACATCCATGCATAAAGAGTGAGCTTAATTATACATAACTACATACCTAATGTGAGGTTTTACATTGTTTTACATATACTTTCTGGTTTACACAAGATGAGACACTAAATCCTAACTGATCTCAAAAAAAGTAGTGTACCTTCAGAGCATGAGAGTCTTAATGTATGAGTTTTCCTTTTTACAAAAAGACACCGTATTTTGCCCTCCCCTCTCTCCCTTTCGGGGATTGTTTTCACTATTTGGTGATTCTACAGTCTCATCTGGTGCCTGCTGTGACTCCCAAGACAGACAAGTGCACAAAGGCTGATTTAGGGTCTTGGATTCCTCTTGAGAATGACATACTCAATTCATTTGTACTGAGCCCAATCATTTGAGCTCAAAATAATAAAAATAAAAGTCACTAAGATGGTTTGAATACTAATGTATGCCCCAGGCACTGTGCTAAATGCTTTGCATGTATTATTTTATTTAATCCTCACAATTCTGTCAGATAGGAATCAAATCCCCATTTTACAAATGAGAAAACTAAGGAACAGGAAGATGATGTAACTTGCCAGTGACACCCAGTTGATAAGTAGCAACTGAGGAGTCAGATCCAGGCCTTCCAGAGCCCTCACTCCCAGCTTCTCTATTAACACGTGCTCCTGGTCTGTATTGGGCTCAATAGCAGGATTCTCTTGGAAGAGAAGCAAGTTTAAACCAACCCCACCCCACTCCCAGAAAAACCCACAGCACACTGGAACCCTCCGGCTTGTCTCAGCTAAGGCCAGGCACAGGGTCTGGAGGTAGAGGCTCTCCAGCCAGGGAAGGAAAATGGGAAGGGCGGAGGTTGCCTCCTCCTGGCCACCATTTGTTAGCTGGTTGGTGAGAAGAGATGGGAGGAAGGGGCACGGTCAGCACATTTCCAAAGGACTCGGGTCATTCTTGGTGTTCTTTGTCTCTGGTTTTGTGCCCATTGCCTAGGTCGCATAATCGCTGCATCCTTCTTAGAACTGCTCTCTATGTAGGGAACCACTTCTCCAGAACCTAACTCTCTGGATTTACTTGTACCTCCCACTTGTACCTCCCCACACCTCTATGCAAATTCTTCTTTCCTGAGCATAACTGATTTCAGCTGGTTGGTAGGACAGTGGTAGGCTTAAGTGAATGGACAAAGGTGAGAATGACTCTCCTCCTCCTCACGGTTTCCTAATTCTCCCAGGAATATCGCCTTATCAACATTTCTGAAAGAAGTTTCATGCAAAGGACTTCCCAAATGAGATAGACATTTCTGGGCAGGGAGGAGTAATGATGGATTCTGCCAGAAACTGAGGAGGCTCAGCCACCTGTGTCCTAGAGGTCGGTCAGGGTGACCCAGAAGCTTCCAGAGGGACTTCAGAGCAGCTCCTGGGCCACTCGGTCTCTGCCTTCTCCCGACTCCAGCAGGGCCAGAAACACTCTCCCAACATGTGCTCATGGTTTGCTGCTCACAGAGTACAGTCATCCACAGGCAGCTTAAAACGAGCAGAGGTAACATTTCCTGGGAGTGTTCCTAACCCCAAATAATGTGTTTGCAGATCGTGTTCCTAATGTTCAGGAGTTAAATTCATGTTCAGAAACAAGTGCTTTACATTTGTAGGTGGCACTTTTATGAATAATATTGTGGACCTTGAGTCCCAAATTCTCCTCGTGTCAAGAGGCAGTGCCCTGCCTCCAGTTTTTCTGGGGCGCTCATCTGCTCCTGCTCACTTAAGCCCTTCAGTATTTCCTACAGAGGTTAGCAATGTTGCACTTGAATAATTGTACCTTAAATTAAACTAAAAATAATTTCTGATAATTTTCATACTGATGCACAGTCTTTATTTCAAAATGGCGGTATAATCTTCAGCATGCCGTTATCAAATAGCTCCATTGACCAATACTGGCAGTTTGCAGTTGAATCACGGGAAGGATTTATTAGGACATGTTTAAAGTGATGTCATAGAAATAAAAATATGGACAGAGACCTAAAGAGTACCAGCTGAGGCTGTGGCTAGAGATATTCTTTAACTCCCCACCACACTCTTGTCTTCTCTCTTACCCCTTTTTTACATCACTATTAAGGCAACACAGTGTACGTTGTCTGTGTCCTTAGCCTACTCTGAAAACACTGCCCCATTTGGTCAAGTTACCCAAAGCTACCACCTAGATCACACCGTGACAAGAAAGAGGTGTTTTCACACTAAACTAATCCAAAGGCAACCAGAATTGATTTATTTTTTAATTTTCTTTATTTCATTTTAATCATAGCCACTTGGAGCCAGTGACTATTTGGAACTATCAAAGAATTTTGATACAATATTTTTACGAAACATTCCGCAATTTACTCTGGCAAACAGAACTCAAGGTCGAAGATTCATAACTCTCATCGATAACTTTTATGATCTCAAGGTAAGGATGTAGTACATTTTCTTAAAACTAAACACTTTGTATTGTGGAGCCACATTGCCTGGGCTGGAATCCTGACTTAATGTATTTCTATCACTTATTTCACCTCTTTGTGCCTCCATTCCTTCATGTGTGAATTGAGGATGATAATATTATTTACTTCTGAGGGTTGTTGCGATGACTAAAAAGGCAAATCCATGTAAAGCATTTAAAACATTTGGCACAAACTGAATGCTGTATAAGCACTATCAGTGAAGCAGCAGTAGTACGATAGTAAAACTCCCATCACAAGACGCTCTGCTGTGTGAATGATTGCATCGTTCTACCAAGCAACTTATATGCTTCATCTATCCCATTCTGAAACACAATGTCTTGCATAGACTGAATGCTCAGTAAGTATTTGTTGCATGAATAAATGATTGCACTGATAGAATAATGCATGAGCAAGCCAGGTGTGATGGCTCATGCCTATCATCCCAGCACTTTGGGAGGCCAAGGGAGGATCGCTTGAGGCCAGGAGTTCAAGACCAGCCTGGACAGCATAGCAAAATCCTAGCTCTACAAAAAATAAGAAAATTAGCTGGGTGTGGCAGTGTGGGCCTGTCATCCTGCCTACTTGGGAGGCTGAGATGGGAGGATTGCTTAAGCCCAGGAGTTCAAGGTTACAGTAGTGAGTCATATCATGCCACTGCACTCCAGCCTTCCAGCCTGGGTGACAGAGTGAGGCCCTATCTCTCAAAAAAAAAAAAAAAAAAAGAAGAAGAAGAAGTAGGAGAAAGAGAAGGAGGAGGAGGAGAAAGAGGAGAAGGAGAAGGAGAAGAAAACAAATGAGTGGATGACTAGAGGACCCTTCTGAATACTGAAGCGCTCTCTCTCCCTATGACCCAGAAACCCCAGTAGCTAGCATTATTCCATCTTGTTGTTTGTTTGTTTTTAATCCATATGTTTTAGCGTGAATTGCCAAGCCATCGCCCATTCATCAAAGGAGCATAGCCTAGTGGTTCAAGAGTGGGCCCTGGGGTCAGGCTGTCTATCCTAGAGACCATCTTAATCTCTCTGAGCTTCAACTGCCTTTTCTAGAAAAAGTAGATAATAATGGTACTTATGAAGTTGTTGTGAATATTAAATGAGCATGTAAAGCACAAAAAATGTTGTCTGGCATATGGTATGCTCTCAAAGGTGAGCTATTAATAGAATGTATCTGTAAATATAGATTCATAGCAAAAGTACATTTTGAAATTAGAATTAATTTAAATATTATTTTACCATTAGATACACTTTTTTCCTCCCTATTCTTTGCACAGAATTAGAGCAGTGATTCTAAATTGAAGGGACTTTGTGGGAAGGAGATAAGCCACAGAATCTGCTGGGAGGGAGAGGTGATAATTTAATATTTCATTTGCTCATTCATTCTGTAAACTTCATCATGCCAAACACTAGAAATTCAGTGGCAAGTGAAACTAGATGGTGCCTGCCTCCAAAGAGCTTAGATAGCCTAATACCAGAGAAAGGTGATTCAGATGTCCACGGAACTCAATGTAAAATCACCACTGTGGGATGACCTCTTAGAGAAGGAGGCATATGGTGCTGTGAAAGTCTAGCGGGGAGAGTGCACTGATCTATGGGGTGGGAAATCCTCTGAGGGCCACCTGTGGCAGAACCATCTGGCCTACTTAAAAATCCAGATTCCAGAGCTCACCCATCCCCACCCCAGCAAATGAGTACCAGGCATGGGGCCAGGAACTGCATGTTCTCATGTTTCTCAGGTGCTTCCTATAAACGCTGAGAAGAGCGAGGGCTAAACTCTATGCACAGAACGAAAGGGGTAACCAGCTTGGGGAGTTTGCAGCAACGGCTCCGGGGTGGGCCGAGTGTGAAAGGCAGCAAGTGTGGCTCTGACGCAGAAGCTGAGGGAAGGCCACCTAAGGGAGTGCTATCAAAAGCTGCTGTGTGTCCCTGTGGAGCCCACACACGTATGACCAGGGAATCTGGAGAGGCAGGAGGCTGAGGACGCAGAGCTGGGGGATGGAGGCCCATCAGCTGTGAGTGGTTTGCCTTCCACAGACTCGACTCTACACTAATGGTGGGGAGGGCAGGGGTGGAATGAAGGGCAGGGGCCTGGAGGCTGCTGTTTTTACAAGACTAGGCTTCAAGAAGAAAACGACGGAGGGGCATGATTAAGATGGCTCATAGTGGAGGATTGAGAGACTTGTTATTTTGATATTTCAGCTAGGAATGCCTTAGAGAAAGCTTATGGCCCCCATCCCTCAGTCCTACCCCCAACCCTACCTCACCCCCACCTTTTCACTTCTTAATTGAAGGAAAAAAGAATTTATCTGGCAATATGATGGAATACTCAAACTACCCTCCTAACATTCCCTTTAACTAAACTACACATTTAGAGATTACACTCTTTATTAAAGTGTAGTCAAAACCATTTTATTTCAGAAATTGGGAGCATTAAACAGACTTTATTCTATAATGTATTCATGGAGATTTGTGAAAGAAGGATAGTCCCATGTAAATAATAAAAAAGTGTCTTTGATTAAAATAACTTATAAGAGGAGGTAGAAGGCCATTAGGATATGGAAAATCTAGTGTCAAATGTCAACACATGATTTTTAAGTACTAGTGTATTATTATTTAAATAATGATTTAAAAAGATAGTTATGAATCCTGAAGACAAATTCAGGACTTTTAAAACATCAAAAAGAATATGTTTTGTATTTAAGCTAGTGGATATAAAAGATATAAAAGCTGTCTCCAATATATGATCACATATGAACACTCACTCAAATACTTACATAATCAAGAGATATTAATGTAAATCTTCGTCTTTTTGAGGAAGGTCCTAGCAGGATGCTAATATCACTGGCCTAATTAGAATAGCAATGCACTGAACTTAGCAGTCTGCTGTGCAGCAAAAGGGTAACTAACCTCTTCACAGTGTCTCTGGGGAGCATCTTAGGTGCACAGACCAGCTCCAAACAGCCAGGTATAAATGTCAACATCACAGTGTAATCATCTTAGTCAGTATGTGGTGCTATACAAAATACCATAGACTGGGTAATTTGTAAATAATAGGAATTTATTTCTTCCAGTTCTAGGAGGTCTGAGATCAAGGTGCCAGCAGGTTTGGGTGTTTGGTGAGGGCTACGCTCTGCTTCAGGATGATGCCTTGTTGCTGCCAGAGGGCACAAATGTTGTGTTCTTGCATGGTGGAAGGAATGGAAGGCAAAAAATGGTGAACTCCCTCCATCAAATCTTGTATAAGGGCACTGAATCCCATGGGTGAAAGCAGAGCCTCATGACTCAATCATATCCTAGAGGCCACACCTCTTAATCCTATTGCATTGTGGAGTAAGTTTCAGCATGAATTTTGGATGGGACAAAAACATTCAAACCAGAGCAGTAATGGAAAAAGCATTGGACTAAGAACTGAAGATCTGGGCTGACGTCTTGAACTGAGTCCTGTCCAGCCCTGAAGTCTCCCAATAAACCTTTGTGCCCTACTTCACAGGGTGGTAGGAGTTGTGTGGAAATATTCTGAAAAGTACTATGCAGTTTTAAAACACTGCTTTAAAGAGATAAACAATTAGGAAAAAAATATATGGACGTCTTAAAAGCAAAGATCCAAGCTTCTGTATGTGAAAAACAGATTTTTATTTTGTGAGATTTTTCTTACCTTCAACTTGTGAAATGTAAAGAGTAACACATTTACTCATTTTCTTCTATTTCAGGTGCGTGTAATTTGCTCTGCGTCGACTCCTATATCAAGCTTATTTTTACATCAACATCATGACAGTGAGTTGGAGCAAAGCAGAATACTGATGGATGATTTGGGGCTGAGCCAGGTAGGCGATATTAACATAATCTCTTTTTATTATAAAACAGCTTAATTGTTTTTGGTTTGATGCATGGCTACATTTTGAAGAAGAAATGCAGTGTATAGTTAACCATTGATTTGCTGCTTCTCCTGTAAGCCCGTGTAGCAAATTTATCATTCTCAATATCACGAAATATAGAAAATTATAAACTTAACAGTGGAGGGAATCTTAGTGGTCATGTAGCTCAGTTCTCCATTTTGCATGTGATAAAAATGAAGCCTAGAGAGGTGGACTAAGGTGCCCACGGTCACACTGCTGAATAGTGGTAGGCCAGAGCTGGATGCCAAGCCACCTGCGTCTGGTTCTGGGCTTGCTCTGCTATACCATGCTGCCCTTTCTGGATATCTTTCTAAATGCTTGCTGGATTTGTAGAGTGCATGATACAGTATCCAAGCATGTGGGCTGGCTAGTCCAGGACCATGGAGTGCCTAGCAAGGTCCTGGGCTTGAAAAGAAATCCCTGATTAATCTCCCTACCTCCATTCTGCAAACATTTATGGAGTACCTGTGGGTGCCAGGCTCTGGGGACACTCTGTAGGGAACAAACAGATGCTAGCCCAGTTTTCCTGGAACTTGGAGTCTGGTGATTCACCCCAGGCCAACCAGAAGTGACTTTGCATTTTCTCCTTCTGTAAGAACGTTACGGGATGTGTTTCTTCTCACCTATCAACAATTGAAATATTAGTCAAATGTTTACAACTATCAACACTCACCCCCTGAGGGGAGCCCAATTCTTCCAGCCCCACAGGTGAAAGACTGCCTGGAACAAGGAAACAATTCCTTATCAACCTGAGTAGAAATGAGACATTTTCAGGAGTTTGGGAGAATGAAGCCTGTTTAGAAAGTGAACTTTCCAATATGATGACTTAAACCTATGTGTATGTCTTAGTCTGCTATAACAAAACACCATGAACTGGGTAGCTTACAGACAACAGAAATTTATTTCTAACAGTTCTGGAGGCTGGGAAGTCCAAGATCAGGGTGCCATCTGGTGAAGGCCCACTTCCTAGTTCATAAGCCTCTGTCTTTTCTGTATAAACCTCACACGGTGGAAGGGGTGAGGGATCTCTCTGGGGCATCTTTTATAAAGGCATTAATCTCATTCATTAGGGTTCCACCCACAAGACCTAATCAACTCCCAAAGGCTCCGCCTCCAATACTATCACCTTATGGGTTAGGATTTCAACATATGAATTTTGGATGGACACAAACATTCAGACCATAGCAGTGTAGAAATAAATAGCTGCTTATAAATCTCTGTACTGGGATCATTTGAAATGTTGGTTCTCCAAGAGCAATATTTACATCCAAATACTGTCTTTGACAATTTGAAAGAATACACTTGAGGAGCTACATCAGCTCGGTTTCTAAAGTCCTTTACATCAGGGCCCCCCAGCCCCTGGGCCACAGACTGGTATTGGTTTGTGGCCTGTTAGGAACCAGGTCTCACAGCAGGAGGTGAGCAGTGGAGGAGCAAGCATTACCACCTGAGCTCCGCCTCCTGTCCCATCAGCGGCAGCATTAGATTCTCAGAGGACCGCCAACTCTGTTGTGAACTGCATGTGCAAGGGATCGAGGTTGCACACTGTTTATGAGAATCTAATGCCTAAGATCTAAGGTAGAACAGTTTCATCCGGAAACCATCCCCCTGCCCCCGGTCCCTGGAAAAATTCTCTTACATGAAACTGGTGCCTGGTGCCAAAAGGTTGGTAAAGTTTACATCATTGGCTCTTAAAATTTTTTTCCCCTAGCCTGGTGCAATGGGTCATTTCTGTAATCCTAGTACTTTGGGAGGCCGAGGTGGGCAGACTGCTTTGAGCTCAGGAGTTTAAGACCAGCCTGGGCAACATGGTGAAACACCATTTCTACAAAAAATTAAAAATAAAAAGTTAGCCAGGTGTGGTGGTACATACCTGTAATCTTAGCTACTGGGGAGGCTGAGGCAGGAAGATCACTTGAACCCAAAAGGCAGAGGTTGCAGTGAGCCAAGATGGCACCACTGCACTCCAGCCTGGGTGACGGAGTGAAACCCTGTCTCAAATTCCCCTAGGATCAAGACAAAGTAAGCTCAGCAGATGGAGCCAATCATATATGAAGAAATCAGGGAATGTGACCTCAGGGCCATGAAGGTTCACAATGAATCAGTGGAGAAGATGGACTTAGGAATCCAGAATTTTTCTCTGAAAAAGCATACTAGCAAACCTCTAAGGAAAGAGAAAAATTCCAAGCCCACTTAGTGGCCACGAGTCTGTGTTGGTGTCACTAGTCTGGGGTTACCAGCCTTACAGAGATGGGGTTACTAGCCTCACAGAGACAGGGCTTCCCAACTTGGTCCTAGGTGGTGGGATCAATTGTCCCAGCAGCTGAAGACTAACAACAGCCCTGGCTTTCAGCCCTGGCTTTTAGATCTCAGGCACATTCTCCAGAACCCAGACCCACTGTTCATTCGCATTTGCTCTCCTTTAGTCATTGGTTGGATTGGAAAAGGCTCTCCAGAGGTTTGTCCTTAGGGCCTCCCCATTAGGCAATGGGACCCTGTCTGGAGGCCTACACCAGCCTCTTTCTAGCTTCTCGGAACTACTGTTGTTTTTGTTTTGTTTTGTTTAACATTACTTATTTCTGATGTACACTTCTGGAGAAAGTTTTCCCTTTTAAGTTTTCTCTCTGATAATTTGATGTGTTTACTGCCTAGCAGTTTAAATTGGTTGACTCTCTAGTCTCATTTAAGGGATTGTATATGAAAAAAAAAGTTATTAAAAAAAGGCATAATCTAAACCGGTAAGCCTAAAAAGTTTTTTTAAACCTATGCTTAGGTTCTGTAAATTTTCATTTGTGATAGCTTTAATTTAATTTGTTTGTTTTATAACCAGGATTCAGCAGAAGGACTCTCCATGTTTACTGGAGAAGAGGAAATCTTTGCATTTCAGCGCACGATTTCCCGACTCACAGAAATGCAGACTGAACAGTACTGGAACGAAGGAGACAGAACCAAGAAGTAACTGTCACTTTCACATAAATAAAACTCTAGACAAATGGTTAACGCAGGCAGAACTCCTTATTGTGGGACTTGAAGGAATCATTTTCTCATCATTAATTATGCACTTTGTCCTCTGGACCATTTTAATCTAAAATTGCTGTCAAAGATCTAGTGGATTAGTAAGTTAAACACTTAACATTTTTAGGTCTACTTTTTCTTATTTGGCCTTATTTCTGTACCATGAAATTAAAATCATCATTCCTGAAGATGAATGTAAGACCAGACATTTTAGCTTCACATTAAACCACCTGAATGAACCTTGAATGCACAAGTAAATGCAAGACGTCTGGACGCCTTCAAGCTTTGGCTGCATGGTGGTGGCACGTTAGAAATCCATCTTTTATAACAGGGGAGAAATGCCTTATGTTTGAATTCAAAACAAAGACAGTTTTCCAATCTGATATAAACTAAAAGGAATAATATTTTAGAATATGGGCTTATATGTGGTTTTTTTTTTTTTTTTTTGGTTATGAATTATAGTAAATGTCCTAGGCCTTCAGATTTCTACATAATAAAAAAATATGTTTTTAACCCTGAGATCAAGCTTAGTAGGCAGGACTTGATCTCAAGTGGTCACAGAGTTTTCTAAAAAAAAAAAAAATTGAGAATTATAATGAGATCAATTAAGGAGCAAGTGTCAAATTCCAGCCAACAGGCAGATCTGCAGGCAGAACTACCACCTCTGCAACCAGGAATGGGGACCAGTGAGAGAGTGTGGGCGGGGGGGTGGGTGTCAGAGTTGTAGGCACTCCGTCAGCAGAGGAGACTCCCACTCACATGGGGCCGGCTGGACCCCAGTGGACAGCAGGCTCCTTCCCACTGTCCGTAGACACTTGCTCTCCTTGCAGCATGCTGCCCCCGCCCTTGCTGCCGACTCCGCCATGAGATGGACCTAATAGGAAATAGGAAAGAACGCCTGACAAGCCTGCTTCAAAGGAAATCTGATTTGTCCTTCACTGAGCTCATTTTTTGCATCTTTGAGTAAAACCTGGCTTTACTAACTATTGTCACAAAGTGGATCTTCGGCTGTGGATGAGTGTGAAAAAAAAAGAAAAAACATAAAATCCACAAAATCTAGTGAAAATTAAGCATTTAGGGCAAGGTAAGGCAGAGGTAAGTCAGTTCAATGATTACAGTGGTCAACATAAGTAAGCTCTTTGAACCTATTTGATTTATTATTTATTTTTTTATTTTTATTTTTTATTTTTATATCTTGGCCACTCCAGCCATCTCCTGGCAGGTGTAGTGTGGCATGGCATGGCCCTATTTAATTTGTTAGTCAATAAGCCATCACAGTAGTCTCTTTTAGACATTAACCTAATTAAGGCAAGCAGATAGATGGATGAGTACCCAAGTCGAGAGAAGAGTTTATTTAAATCAAGCCTTCTGTCAACGAAATGTGGTTTAAAGATATTTTTATTGAAGTGAAACACAGTAATTTCAAAGAGGTTAAGTAATAGGGAAGAAAGATGGGAAATAACCACTTTGTGCCAGATTTAATGCTACATATTTACATTAGCTCAGTTAAAAAAAAATAGTCTTAGAAAGTGAATATTATAATCCCTGTTTAAAGATAAGAAAACTGAGGCTTGGGAAAGTTAAGTAGCTTGACCTGAGATTTACAGTTTACAACTACAAAACTCATGTACTATATTTTATACCACACTGTCTCTTACTATTTAAAAAAAAAGAGAGATTGTTTTAAAAATTGATTGATTTAACTCAGTGAATGAAGGTGAAGATAAATTTACAACAGAACCATTGATTTGAACTCAGTAAATATAAAATGTTTAACTTTATTCTTTAGATGTTAGCTTTTTACTTTTCCCATTCCTTTGGTAATTATTCTGTACCTTAATTTTTTAAAAAATAGTGTGAATGGATAGATAGATAGATGGACAGTATGACCGATAGAACTGTCCCTGAGTGTGAGTGTATGTATAAGAGTCCTCCTCTTCTACATACTTTTATAACTTTTATAACTGTTATGTTAAAAAGTTCATTTGAGGTCCGATATTGGGAATAAAGTTTCATTTTTCCATAGAAACAATCATGTAATGTTAGTTGGGGTGCTGTCCCAATGTGTAGGAGCCTATGTAATTCTCAGTGTAGCGTCCCTATAATGTCATTTTGGTACAAAAGAACTTAAACCCTGAGGGAAAAACTGTAGCTCAGTCTCCACCTAAGTAACTGGAGCATGTGTCCACTTCTGTGTCCCCAGTGTGCAATCTTCTTCCCCAGCTCCAGGGGCCTGGTGGGACTGGCTACAGTGGAAGAGGCTCTTTGAGCTGGGAGAGGGGTTTATGCAGAAAGTGGGGCTAGAAGGCTTTGGCTGGATCTCTGGAGGGGAGGAAGGAGTTCCATGGTGGCTGGAAATCTACAAAGTTTATTTCATAAAATAGCACGCAAGAAAAAAACCCAAATCTTCAAGAATAGCCATCAATAGGAAACAGTATGGTAGCTCTACTAAAAGAAAAGTAATGCCAACATGAAACGCAACCCCTAGATTGGAGAGCAACATTTCAATTTGTCTTTCTTCCAAGCCCTGCCCCTATTACATTCTCAGCATTCCAGTCTTTCTCCCTAGAAGTCTCTCAGCAAATGCTCTTTTTTTGAAATGCTTTAAATGTATACTTTGAGATGGAGGTTTGAGCTGAGTAGTGCTGTGGAAAGCTCCCATTCAATTCAAAACACAGACGGGGGATGTCTTTAGAGTCAGGAGAAAACACCATGTGCCAAGGGTGCTCTCCAAACTGATCACTGGTTCCCAGACTTCACAGAGGTCAAGCGGAGAAAAAGGAAAGCTTTTCTTAGAGAAGAAAAGAAAAATCTTATCACTTCTCATATTTCTTTACGCAGTGTATGAGCTTATTTGCTGATATCACTAATCCTGAGATGAAAAACAGGATGGACTTAAGTAATTTTAACCTATTTCTGAGGCCGAAAAGACTGTAGCATTATTTTAATCAAATTTATGCCTTTTCAGTGGGACTTCAAATTTTAATAATAAGGCAATACTTTTATCTTCTTAATGTATATATATTTCCTGTACTTACAAGTGTGCAAATAACATAATTTTAAAATTAGTTGGAATATTGAAAAAAATTAAAATTTCACTTGTAAGATAAGTGGATGTGCTTATATCCATTTATTTATTTAAGAAACACATCATGTTTTCTGTGTCCTGGACATGGTTCTATGTGCTTTATAAACTCTTTTGATCCATGTAACAGTCTTATGAGATAGGTGCCATTATAATCATTTGATAGACAGGGAAGCTGAGACACGGAACACAGCTAAAGCAGAATCCTGAATTGCTAAAATATACGCTGAAGTCAATAAAATTAGCGAAGTGCTAACATATTACATTTTCCATTTCATTGCCTCTGTCCTGAAAACAGTATTGCTGGTCCACGTAACTGGAACCTACACTTGATGGCTGCTTTATCTGAGATTAAAAACACGCAGAAGGATTGGGCGCCTGGGTCCCTGACATTTGGGTTCCTGTTCAGTTACGGGAATCTGTCTTGCAGCAAGTCTGTAAGTTACCTTTATTAGATTTACTAATCTCGAAAGACGTCACTTGCTGGTAGGAAAGGATTTTCTTTGGAAATGAGTTTATAACTTCTTATACAGTCAGAATTAAGATGAATGTTCCCTATTGGCATATAGCAGTTCATTTTTCTGGAATAGAAAATTACAAATGTTAAAATCTGCCCTCTTGTCGAGCGTCTACTGACTCAGTCCAGCAGCTCACTAGGACCCTCACATCTGTTACCCCCACTGGTCACTCGGTCCAGTCAAACATGCCTGTCCGCCAGCCTTTCATCTGTGCTGCATGGAGCCATCAGTCTGTCTTGCCGGCTTGCCTAAGGGGCTTTCCGGATGTTGTGCTGAGAATTTTCCTATCTCAGGGCTGTACTTTCTGGGTTCCCGGTGGTTGATTGCTTGTCTCTAATGATGCAGTGGGAAGGGCTTGAGATCCGGCATTGGAAAATTCAGTTCTGCTAATTATTGTTTTGTGACCTTGACCAAGATAGTGCTCTGAGCCTCAGTTGTGTCATCTTATAAATGGGAATCATAATGCCCATTTCATAGAGTTACTATGAGGATTGTTGGTGAAAAGCGCTTTGCAAATGGCAAAGGATTAAACGATTAAACGAACATCAGTTGTCATTGATACTAATGATTATGATCATAAATCCTACTTTCTACTTTGTGTTATAGCCTTTTGAGGAACGCAAAACAGAAGACACATTCCAACCACTGGTTTCTAACAGAAGGGAAAAGATACTCATTAAATGGCTAGACACCAAGAGCACATGGGTCTGGCTTAATGAGATGCTGGAGAAGGTTGTTAAATTCAAATCCATGTTTTCAGGATTAATACAGAAATTAATTGTTGTTTGGTGAACATCAAAGATTTCCCAGAAATAGGGCACCATCTTGTGGTCAGCAGGATGAACTGACAGGAAAAAAAAGTCCAGTGGTTCTCAATGCTACACATTCCTAGGCCTAGGTCCACCTCCAGGGTCAGGTGTGGTGAGTCAGATGTGTGGCCCCAGCATCAGCACTTGTTAATGTTCCTCGTAAGATTCTAAGGTGCAGCAGGGTTGATCACCGCCAATCAGGCAGGCCGTGGAGCTCTTGCCTATGACTACACAGCCGGTAAGCACAGACCGCCCTGCCTGCAGCTGGGTCCTGACTCTGGGCGCCTGATGCAGAGACCACGGCACTTTCCAGGGAGTAGAGGCTGTTGCTATGATTCCTGGAGCCCAGGTCATCAGCACACTGGCACACACAAAGGCACCTCCCAGAGCCCACCCCTCTCCTCCCTGGAGACCTGCGCTCCTCTGCCTTCCTTCTCCACCCGCACTAATAACGTCAAAATAGGTAACCATGCAGCACTTCCTAGTTTACAAAGCACTTTAGGAGGCCAAGGCGAAAGGATGGTTTGCTCCTACCATATCCGTCGTCCACAGCAAATTCTGCGAGGAGATGTGATTATCCTACTACCCATGAGGAAACCGGGGCACTCGGGGGGGTAAGTGGTTTCACAAGCATATCGAGTAAGCACATGTCTTCTGGATCCCAACCCTGTGCTCTGCAGCCCTCCTGGTAGTAGTAGTAATAGTAGCCCCCATTCTAAAGTCATCGTGGTCTTGAGGCTGGAACAGGAAAGATGTGGGTGTCGGGGCTTGCACAGGGGGGTTGTTTTGCACAGCCCCATATGTGATAGCAAATAATTGGAATCACAGTGGCTGGCAAACTGAAATATTTAATCTTCACAATAATTCTGGGAAAGGAGATACTGTTCTTAGAGAAGGGGTTAGAGCTTGAAGAAAATAAGGCATTCCATTGTGGCTATCAAACATTTCAATCTCAGGACTCTCTCTCTCTCTCTATTCATTTATTTATTTACTTTGAGACCATGGAGTGCAGTGGCACAATCATGGCTCACTGCAGCCTTGACTTCCCCGGCTCAAGTGATCCTCCCACCTCAGCCTCCCAAGTAGCTGGGACTACAGGTGTGCACCACCATGCTCAGCTAATTTTTAAATTTTTTAAAAAAACACAGATGGGCTCTGGCTATGTTGCCAGGGCTGGTCTCAAACTCCTGGGCTCAAGTGATCCTCCTGCCTCAGCCTCCCAAAGTGCTGGAATTATAAGCATGAACCACCACATCTGGCCCCACTTTCCACTTTCAAAATGCTTGCAGACCCCAAAGAGCTTTTATGTGGGTGGGATGTATAATCACCAGTATTAGAAATCAAACAGAGAAATTGTTAGATATTTAATTCATTTAAAAATAACAATAAGCACACAAAATATTACCTAAATAGCATTATGAAAAGTAACAGCATTTTCCAAAACAAGAAACAAGTTAGTGAGAAAAGTGGCATTGTTTTAAATTTTTGCCAATGTCTGGTTTAGTAAAATACAGCCAGATTCTCATACCTGCCTTTGCATTCAATCTGTTGGAATATCACACATCATGTAACTCCTGAAAAAATCAACTGTGTGCATGTGGGAGAATGAGAGAGAAAGGTAAATAATGTCTTAGTGGTTTTATGGAAAATGACTTTCACCTCATGGACTCACCAAGAGTCACAGGTCCCTCAAGGGTCCCTGGACCACACTTGGACAAGGCTGAGTTTATTGCTAATGGGATGAAGGATTCCCATGTGCCCACTGGAGCCCACTGGTAAGAGCTGGTATTGGCAACTGGAGTGGAGAGAGGGTCCTAAGCATGGGAAGGGTGGGGCCAAGCTAGATGGGAATTTGAATATAGGAGAAGATGGTAGCCAGTCTACCCATTGAGACCTCCTAGCCACTGCCTCACTTCATCCTCATTGTTGCCTGCTGCTCTGAGCCCTAAGCACTTTGCCAGCCCAGCCCCAACCTTGCAACTCTCTTCTCTAGCTTCTCCTCCTGTGTCTCAGCTCTTCCTTCTCTGAAAGCTTCTGGTTCCTTTTCCTTTTCTCACCATCTAAGTTCTTTCTTGGATCCACATAAAAATGCTAATTATAAAAAACAACACCCAATATTATACAAAGTCCTTTCACACATAACGTCTTTTTCATACTCTTTTCTTGATGTCCATAGCAACAAATACCAGCTGATGCCAGTTATTCTCAAGTGTGTCTTCCCATCCCTGAATCCACCAGTCTCCTGTTCTGTACTTCCAATTGCCTACTGGATCTCTCCTCTTGAATGCTGCTTAAACTCAGTGTGTCTCAAATAGTACTCAACCCAATCCTCCACACTGAAATATCTTCTTGCAATGGTACACTTTTTGCAATGATACTGTCTCAGGCACTCACACAGCTGCAGTACTCTAATACTTTGCCACGGGCAGTCAACAAGAGCCAGTGATGTTGGGAACAGAAAAGAAAGGATAAACATTGGAATCATGTTACATGTTGCAGAAAGGGTCCAAGATAAGTATCAGTGCAGGGCAGGACTTGGAGAATGGTTAGTTATTGGAATGAATGGCAAACCCAACAATCTGAAGACAAGAGCAGTTTAAGCAAAGGTGATCCCAGGACTTTCAGCCTGTCCTGAGTGTTTCTGCAGTGATGGGATCAGTTCTGGAGTCTCCCAGTCCTCATTATCCACCTGGGGGCTGGGGATAAGACTCCAGAGAGTCCTAGGACAAGCTGGCCTTTGGGAATGCAGTAGACAGTTCTCATTTCACTGATTCACTCTTTAATTTATTGAATAAACACTGTCAAGTGCTTCTTATGACAAGGCATTCTGCTAGATGCTCCGTGGGACATGATGAAGTTTAAAGCTTTCTTTAAAAGAAAGAAAAAAAAAGTCATTATTTTGTCCAGGCACAGTGGCTCATGCCTGTAATCCCAACACTTTGGGAGGCCAAGGTGGGGGGATCACTTGAAGCCAGGAGTGAAAAGAAAGAAAAAGGAAAAAGAAAAAAAAGTGATTATTTGAATAGGAGAATTTATATGTTGATTATATTGCTCCTTAAGGAAAAGTCAGCAATTTAAATCAAAATTAAAGCTTGAATCTCTAAAACTGGCTAACCTCATCTGGAACATGTGGCTCCCCCTTGCCCCTAAGATCACCTTCTCCGTAGTCTACCAGGCTAGCATGAGCCACACCTGTTCAGTTTTCCAACTCTCAGCAAAGAGAAAGACTTCATTAATATTTGGGGGATACAGGCCAGGTACAGTGTCTCACACGTGTAATCCCAGCACTTTGGGAGGCTGAGACAGGTGGATCGCTTGAGTTAAGGGGTTCAAGACCAGCCTGGCCAACATGGTGAAACCCCATCTCCACAAAAAACATGAAAATTAGCCAGGCATGATGGTGCGTCCCTATAATCCCAGCTTCTCAGGAGGCTGAGGCAGGAGAATCACTTAAACCCAAGAGGCAGAGGTTGTAGTGAGCCGAGACTGCGCCATTGCACTCCAGCTTGGGCAACAGAGTGAAACTCTCAAAAAAATATATATATATATATTTTGGGGATACAGATAATAAATTCAGAAAATACCTGGAATCGAGATGATATGGTTAATCAAATTTAATGTGATCATCTTCAGCATGACTCTCCACTTTGTTCCAGCTCCCCCTCCAGATTCCAGACACCTCTTCTATCCCCCTCCACAAGACGATACTCATAGACACACATATACCTCTGAGTGCTTCCTGGAAAGGGCAGAATCCAAAAAGAAGCCTCTTCTGCAGCATGACAGTCACTGCTAGAACTTGCCCATAACCAGTTCTCTCTTTCTAAGCACACAGGCGGGTCACACTTTCTGGCCCCTTGGCAGTTAGGCAAGGCCATGTGACTACTTCTGAGCAGTTAGTTGGCAGTGAGTGGAAGTGATGTGACATGTGTGTCATTTCCAAGGTGAAGCACTTACTAGCTGGCTTGAGAGCTTCTAGATCTCTTTTCTTTTGCATGGAAAACGTGGAAATACCATGTTGAGACAGAGACACCCAAGATAAAATAGCCTGGAAGGCTGAGCTTCCACACGGAAATACCAAACCACCCATGGCAAATGCTGTGTGAGCAAGAAATAAAATTACATTCTGTTTTTCCTTGGAGAAATAAGGGAAAAAATAAAAATAAATTACATTCTAATAAACCATGGAGACCTTTGGTGTTATTTGTTATGGCAGCATAATCCAGCTTGTCTTGACTATACACCAGCCGGCCGGCCGGCCAGCCCCTTCAGGGTCTGTTTCTTGTCTGAGGACCTGACCCTTCCTTGGGAACTGACACTAAGAATGGCTGCTCTCCTTGGCTTCATCTCCAGACCCGCGTGGCTTGTCTCTAGAGGGCTTAGCAATAGCAACACATCTCTCTATTGCCCCAAACCTCAACATTCACACATGTGCTATAACTGCCCCCAAGAATCCCCCTGCATCCCTTCACTTCCAATACTTTTTTACTTGGGTTTTGTGTTTTTTGGGTCACAGTGAAAATATTAGGTGGACAGGTTTAAATGTATCCGATGACTTTAAACCCGACTTTGATACTCAAGTGGGCAAGAAAGCTGCTTGCAATTCTTCAGGGCTTGGACTTGAGCCATCAGTTGTTTAAAACTCTAAGCAGATGCAAGTTATAAAAGACATTTATTCACATATGAAGTCTACATCCAGAGAAAACCATTTTCAGAGCTGAAATAATCTAACCAAAGAAGAATAGGCAGGGTATAAAATCAAGCAGTGCCAAGGCACATGCTTACCCCGACCCAAAAGGAATCCAGCCATTTCATTCCTCCAGCAGGTGGCGATCCAGAGGCATCCTGAGAGAAGGGGCAGGCAGGAAGAACAGAGCACCACTAGGAGTCAGGAGTGTATCTGAGATCCTGTACTGCTACTAACCGTATAAAACCTCATGCACATAACTGTGGGTAAGTCACTTAATGTTACTCTTTGGGCCTCATGTAAGACCTTTATTTCTGTGAAGCTCTGATGATATATAATTTGATCAAACGGTGTATACAGATGGCCCGTAAGCACACGAAAAGATGCTCAGTATCATGACTCATTAGGGAAATGCAAATCAAAATCACTGTGAGACACCACTTTACACTACTAGGATGGTTAGAATCAAAGAGATGGAGAATAAAAAAGGCTGGCAAGGATGTGAAGAAATTGGAACCCTCATACGCTGCTGATGAAAATGTAAAATGGTGTAGCTTTGGGAAACAGTTTGGCAGCTCCTCAAAATATTAAGCATCTAGCAATTCTATTCCTAGATACCTAAGAGAAATAAAAATATATATCCGCACAAAAACTTGTGCATGAATGTTTGCAAAAGATTATTATATTAGCCCCAAAGTGAAAACCCAAATGTCCACTACCTGGTGAATGGATAAACATGATGTGGCATTACATATAAAGTAGTAGTATCCAGCAATGAAAATGAAGTCCTGATACGTGCTGCTACAAGGATGGACCTTGAAAATATTATTCTAAGTGAAAGAAGCCAATCATGATGGGCACACATATATATGGCTCCATGTGTGTGATATGTCAAGTAGGCAAATCTGTAGCGATAAAGAGTAGGGCCTGGGGGTGAGGGCAGGAATGAGGAATAATTGCTAATGGGTACAAGATTTCTTTTAGGGATAATGAAAACATCTGAAATTAGATTGTAGTGGTGATCGCAAAACTCTGTGACTACACTAAAAATCGCTGAACTGTGTGCCTTACCTGGTTGGATTTTATGGTATGTGAATCAAGCTATTAAAAATAGTGTACAGGGCTGGGCGCGGTGGCTCATGCCTGTAATCCCAGCAATTTGGGAGGCCGAGGCGGGTGGATCACTTGAGGCCAGGAGTTCAAGACCAGCCTCGCCGACATGGTAAAACCCTGTCTCAAAATACAAAAATTAGCTGGGCATGGTGGCACACCATCTGTAATCTCAGCTACTCAGGAGGCTGAGGC